ATGTTGGGTCCATACGTTATGACGCATTCGGGACCAAGTCCACTGGGCTCAGAGGATCACAGATTTTTTTTTATATTACAAATTATGTAATCAATCCACCTTGGGAATAGTGTTGGATAGCCTCCATCCGCTAACATGCACTCACATCTGAGAGTTATTAGACAACCTTGACATCCAGGGCCAAATGAAACTGCCTGATTGGCTCAGTCTATCTGGGAACACTGAGCTACTCCTAGTGATATCAAAAACTTTCCATCAGCTTGCCATGGAGAAGACACAGAGAAGAGAGCATTCTGGCAGAGGCAGGAGGAGATTGGATCGGATCACAGGTTTCCAGGGCAGCTTTGGAGAGGAATTGGGAAGAAAAGATTCAAAAAGATTCAAAGAGTAATGGTCTAGGTTAGGGCTCAGCAAACTTTTTCCACGAAAGGCCAGAAATAACTATCCTAAGTTTTGCTGGATGCATTTTCATATATTCTTCATTATTGCAATCCTGAAAAAATGTCAAAGCCATGTTTAGCTCACACCCAGCACTTTATTTGACACAAGGACTGTAGCTAGCTGACCCCTGAAGTAGATGGTTTTAAAATCATTCTACAGAGGTGTTTGAGGAGTTCATTCTTGGCCTCTTTCCCCAGTGATATTACCTGCTGAGAACGCACAGGACAATAATAGGCTTAAATAATGAAGTAAAAAACTGAAATATCTATTGTGATATTGAAATAATGTAAGAAAAAGCTGTAGGGGCACCTGGGTGGCTCAGTTGATTAAGCATTTGCCTTCCGCTCTGGGTCTTGGGATCAAGCCCCACACCCGGCTCCCTGCTCAGTGGGGAGCCTGCTTCTCCCTCTCCCTCACCCTCTCCCCCTGCGTGTGCTCTCTTTCTCTGCCCTCCCCCCGTTTGTGCTCTCTCCTCCTCTCTCTCTCTCTCTCAAATAAATAAAATCTTTTAGAAAAAAGCAAAAAATTGTGAGGTGAATGGAAAGATTGTCAAGCAACACTGAACACCCAAGTGAGATTGAAACCAAACAAGTGATAGACTCAAGCCACACAATTGTTTGTGCAATCTGGGGCAAATCTGCTTAAAATAAGCAGGTGGATTGATCTAATGTTGGGATTTGACATAGAGAATCCCAGAATGGAGGGAATGAGGACTCTGGTGGGAAAAGTTTATGTTGAGTGACCAGGAGTCTAAGCTGAGCAGAGCGGAGGGATGGAAACCAACAAGAATGGAAGAGCTGAGGAATCAGAGGTTGGGATGAGGCTGTGAAGCAGGTTCCAGAAATGTTATAGGCAAACTAAGCATAAAATGCATATCCTGTTTGTTTCCCATAAACAGAATCCTGCTATATTCTGTTCTGCACTTTGCTTTTATTCACTAAACAGCATCTCTTTCCGTGTTTACACATATCGATCTACCCCACTCTCTTTAACCAGCCGCATAGTGTTCCAGTGCATGGATTTGCCATGACTTATGGAGACTCTTGGTAGACTTTTAGGATGTTTCCAGCATTAAGATTTGCCAAAAATCTAGAATGAACATTGTTAAACATTCTTGCAAGTTTTATCAAAGGATAAATTCCATACATGGAATTGCTGGGTCTATGCATTTGGAATTATTTGCATTTGGAATTTTGTCAGCTACTGCCAAATTTTCCTGCAAGGAGTCTGCGCCAATTTCCATTCCCACTGACAATGGGCGATTAACATTCATTTCCCCACAATATCATCAACACTGGATGTTATCAAACTTTTCCATCTTTGCCAATCTGATGAGGGAAATAAATGATGCCACAATTTTTACCTCCATTTCTTAATTATAAGGAAAGTCAATCATTATTCCTGCCCACATTATTTACTTGTATTTCTTTTTCCGTGGACTAGCTATGTTTATCCTTCCCTCTGTTTCTGTTAGGTTATTTATCTCTTTCTTATTGACATATGTGTTTTTTGGACATTAAGACAATTGGCCCTTTTCCAAATGTCTTGCAAGTATTTTTCTATTTGTCTTTTTTTAAGATTTATTTACTTATTTGAGAGAGAGAGAGAGAGAAATAAAACAGGGGGAAGGGCAAAGGGAGAGGGACAGAGAGAATCCTCAAGCAGACTCCACACTGAGCACAGAGCCCAACTTGGGACTCAGTCCCAGGACCCTGAGATCATGACCTGACCTGAAACCAAGAGCCAGACGCTTAACCAACTGTGCTATCCAGGTGCCCCCCGCCATTTGTCTTTCTTCTTTTTTAAAGATTTTATTTATTTATTTGACAGAGAGAGATCTCAAGTAGGCAGAGAAGCAGGCAGAGGGAGAGGAGGAAGCAGGCTCCCTGCTGAGCAGAGAGTCCAATGTGGGGCTCGATCCCAGGACCCTGGGATCATGACCTGAGCCGAAGGCAGAGGCTTAACACACTGAGCCACCCAGGCACCCCGCCATTTGTCTTTCTTAATGAACTTCATGCATGACCAAAGATTGTATGTTTTATGTATTCAAATTCATTCATCCTTTTTTATTTTTTTAAGAGTTTATTTATTTATTTAAGAGAGAGTGTGTGCACGCACACACGCACAAGCCTGGGATGGGGCAGGGGGAGCTTGGAGGGGAAGGGGCAGAGGTAGAAGGAGAAGCAGACTCCACCTGAGCAGGGAGCCCAAGGCGGGCTCAAACCCAGGATCTGAGATCATGACCTGAGTGGAAGATAAATGGTTGAGCGACTGAGCCACTCAGATGCCCTTCATTTATTCTTTATTTTAAATCTCCGTGCCTTCCAAGGGCACCTGAGTGGCTCAGTCTATTAAGTGTCTGCCCCTGGCTCAGATCCTGATCCTGGGGTCCTGGGATCAAGCACTGTGTCAGGCTTCCTGATCAGTGGGGAATCTGCTTCTCCCTCTCCCTCTGCTTCTCCCCACTGCTCATGCTCTATCTCATTCTCTCTCTCTCACTCCCTCAAATAAATAAAATCTTTTAAAAAAAAAATCTATGCCTTCCATATTCCCAATGACTAGCAAGTTTCCCTCAACACCATTTGTTGAAGGCTCTATTTATCCCTGTATAAAGTTGCCTCTATGTTTGGACTCTTATTCTTTAATCTAGCTCCTATGTCCGGACCTGCCAAATTATTTAATAACCACAGATATATATTTATCTTTTATATTTGGAAGAGCTTTTCTACATCACTGGCCCTTTTTTCCCATGATGTGAAGAGAAGATTTTTTTTTTAATTTTTATTTATTTTGTCAGAAAGAGAGAGAGGGAGAGAGAGCAAGCACAGGCAGACAGAATGGCAGGCAGAGGCAGAGGGAGAAGCAGGCTCCCTGCCGAGCAAGGAACCCGATGTGGGACTCGATCCCAGGATGCTGGGATCATGACCTGAGCCGAAGGCAGCTGCTTAACCAACTGAGCCACCCAGGCGTCCCTGTGAAGAGAAGATTTTTGAAGAAAAATTAAGAACAGCAGTCTGAAAACTGCAAAGGAAACCAGACAAATTCCAATCTCATGCTTCTGGCCCTGAGAGGTCAGACTATAACCAAAGAATTGTTAGGGAAATGGCAATGTCAAAAAGGAAAGAGATTTCAGGGATGCCGAGCAAATGAGGGCATTTTTTCCTAGCAAGGAACATGATACTGAATGAGTTGAGAGCATTATGAGGCCCTGAGAGAAAAGAATGGGTAAAGGGAGGAAGGAAGGGAGAAAGAGACAGAGGGGCAGAGGGAGAGGGGTAGAAAATTATCTGACAAGACATCACCTCTGTGGTTCTTTAATTTAAAAAATGGGTAGAATTATTTATACCTGGCCTATCTTTGCCAGGACAAAGTAAAATGACACATGTGAGAGTTCTTTTAGCATTAACAATGGAAGTGTAGGTTATAGGGGTGCCTGGGTGGCTCAGTCAGTTGAGCAACTGACTCTTGATTTCAGCTCAGGTCCTGATCTCACGGTCCTAAGATCAGGACCTGAGTCAGGCTCAGTGGGGAATCTGCTTAAGATTCTCTTTCTCACTCTGACCTTTATGCCCCACAACTTCAAGTAAGTAAATCTTTAAAAAAAAAATATGAAGGTTATAAGTTCAGAGTGCTGGTATGGACAGTTGGGGATTTTTTTTTTATATTACCCTTACTTATTTAGCTTTTACAATTCAATAGGAGTTTTTGAATAGGTAAAACATTTACATGTTTTATGAGTCAAAATCATATAAAAAGTTACCCGCAGAGAATTACTGCTCCTATATCTGCCTGCTCCTTCCAGCCCATTCCCTAATCTATCTCCATCTCCAAAGATTTATTAGTTTATCATATAGGCTTCAAGCATTTATTTGCAAATACTAATATTTGTATATTTTCCTTATCTTCTCCCCATTTCTTGCATAAAAGGAACTACACCAGATACCTTGTTTTTTATCATGTAATATGTCCTAGAAAATTTTCCATGTCAGTACATAAATATCTTTCTCACTCTTTTTTTTTTCCCTTAAGCTAGTGTGGATATAACGTAATTTAACATGTCCCCCATTAATGGACATGTGAGTTGCTCATTTGATGTGTCAAATGCATCCCTTAATATCCCTGTACCGATGTCAGTTTTAAACATGTGTGTAGGTATATCTGTCAGATAAATCATTAAATTGAGAATGTTAAAGCAGGAATGCTTCTGTAGTTTCGCACCCATTGTAAGAGTCCCCTCAGCAGGGGTTATGTCATTTTGCACTTCCATCTACAACACTTGACTTCCTGCCACCCCACAGCTTAGCCAACACAACGTTCCATCAAAATTTTGAGTTTTGGGGCGCTGGGTGGCTCATCAGTTAAGCACCTGCCTTAGGTTCAGGTCATGATCCCAGGACCTTGGGACAGAGCCCAACATCTGGCTCTGTGCTCAGTGGGGAGTCTGCTTCTCCCTCTCCTTCTGCCACTACCCCCGTTTGTGCTCTCTCTCTCTCTCAAATAAATCAATAAAATCTTTAAAAAAAAAAAAGACAAAACACTCAGGAAACATAGACTAGTTCAAAAAACTTTTAATAAACTGCAAATATAAGCAAGACAGAATAGCTGTGAGTACAGGGAAGGGAAGCACTGATCTGAGTCACGAAGCTCCTCGGAAGCGGTGGAGACCAGCTGCCCCTTAGGTCTCGCAGGCTCATACAGCTGAGGACGCCTGGAGGATGCTCTCCTGGACTAGATAACCGTTTCTTCCTTCAGCAGTGTCTCCTTTTGTATGGAGCTTAGGTCTCCTCCCAAACTCTCCAGATTCTCCAGGTGGGGGACGCCCTGGCTCTCCTCGATACTCCGGGAATTGGGCAACCAATGGCAGCTAAGGCAGGTTGTTTCTTGGAAGAGGCAGATGGCACCTGGGTAACAGCGAAAGTTTGGGTCAGGTTAGGGAGTGACATCAGGAATGCCCTCCTCGAATGTGACCCCCTCTGGCCTGCATCCAACCTCCCTAGTTCTCCCCTCCAACAGAGAGTATTACAGAGACAGAAGGAAAACAGAATGCATCACAAGACAAGGCAGACGAACAGATGGATAAACTCACAGAACCAGAGCCAGTGCTGGAGGGCATCTTAGCAACAGGCTAACTATTAATAGGTAAGAAAACAAGGTTTAGGAAGGAAGGTCAGACACAAAACCCAGGCCTCTGGATGCCCCGCTCAAGACTCCCAGCGAGGCAGAAAGGAAAAAGAAAACTGTGTCATAAATGGAGATAGCTTGAGCGAATAATAAATGCTGTGTTAAGGTTAAGGCTAAGGGAAAGGACAACTTCTATGTTCTGTGTGATAGCAGACTACATACTCTCCCACTGAAAAAAAACCAAAAACTCGATAGAAGGTGTTTCTCCAGAAACCTATTGGTAAATATAGCATCAAACTGGCATCAGGGTAAGGCATTCTTAGGAACAAAACTCTAGTGAAAACAGAAACCTAGAGAGTTTAAGCAAGCATACAATCAGCCTTCACCGTAGGGATATACACTCAACCCAGGTGACCCTGAATTTCCATTCTTTTGGACATTTGGGACACAAAGTGAGAGGAAAAGCCCAGGGCCTGCTCAAGATGACCAGTCTAACAAGGGTCTGCCATACGGAGCTAGAACTTCAAAGTTACCTGTATTGACTGAGAATTCATAAACAGAGGCTAGCTGTTCTGTGGGTCTGCAACCAAATTCACAATACCTGTTGTGATCCTAGTTGTACATCTGAGCATCAAACAGGAGCAAATGCAAAACCCTTTTTTTTTTTTTAAAGATTTTATTTATTTATTTGTCAGAGAGAGAGAGGGAGAGAGAGCAAGCACAGGCAGACAGAATGGCAGGCAGAGGCAGAGGGAGAAGCAGGCTCCCCGATGAGCAAGGAGCCCGATGTGGGACTCGATCCCAGGACGCTGGGATCATGACCTGAGCCGAAGGCAGCTGCTTAACCAACTGAGCCACCCAGGCATCCCGCAAAACCCTTTTTGAAAAGAACACTTTAAATACAGGCCTCAGTGAGTTTCTACCCGGAAAAAAAAAAAAAAAAACTTCCAAGGAAAATGAATTCACAAACATACCAAGAAACAAGGCACCAGAAACAAGAGCCGGTAGAAATAGCAGCAGACGGACACAGACCTGCATATCATTCAGTTGTTAAACTTAAAAGACACAGAATTGGGGCGCCTGGATGGCTCAGTGTGTTAAAGCCTCTGCCTTCGGCTAAGGTCATGATCCCAGGATCCTGGGATCGAGCCCCACATCAGACTCTCTACTCAGCAGGGAGTCTGCTTCCCCTCTCTCTCTGCCTGCCTCTCTGCCTTGTGATCTCTCTCTCTCTTTCTCTGTCAAATAAATAAATAAATAAAATCTTAAAAAATATATTTAAAAAAATGAAAGGAAGATAATTTCATACAAACAAAATATGAGAATGTATCTCTAACTGACCCTCACTAAAACCCATTATAAAGGATGTATTTCAGGCAGAAGGACAGAAGGTCTGAGAAGGGTTGATGAGCAACTAAACTGGTAAATATGTGGGTAAATTTAAGCCAATAAATATCAAATGCAAAAAATAGCAGTAACATCAAATGTATAGAATTAAAAAGGAAATGGAAGAAACTAAAATGTATGAAACAGCATATAAATTGGGAAGACATTACCTTGTATTATTTACAAAGAGAATAAATATGTTGGTGAACTTTCAACTTTGTTTAGTAAGCATGTTAAAATGACAAGAGTAGCTACTACAAGAATACAAATAGACCGCATGACTTCCAAACTAAAGAGGGAGGAAATATTTAATGAGAACTCTGTCGATAAAAGTCAATCAATTCAAAGCAAGGCAAGAGAGGTGGGGAGCAGAAAAAACTCAAAGCAAAAAGTAAGATGGTAGGAAAAAAATACAAATATATCAGTAGTCACAATAAATATAAATCAATAATAAATGCTCCAGTTAAAAGACAAAGATTAGGGGCGCCTGGGTGGCTCAGCCGTTAAGTGTCTGCTTTTGGCTCAGGTCATGATCCCAGGGTCCTGGGATCGAGCCCCACATCGGACTCCCTGCTCACTTCTCCCTCTCCTACGCCCCCCTGCTTGTATTCCCTCTTTCACTGTCTTTGTCTCTGCCAAATAATAAAATGTTTTTTTAAAAAGACAAAGATGAAAAAAAAAAAGACAAAGATGATAAAACTAGATGAAAAAGATACAATCATAAGCTGTATGATTACATATAAGTAAAAGATTAGAAAGATCTATAACAGGCAAATACTAGAGTACTATTACTAGCTAGAGTAATACCAGATAAAACAGACTTTCACAAAAGGGATTACTAGAAATAAAAAAGATCACAGCATGCATAATGATTAAAAGTTCAATTCACCAGTAAAACAGAACCACTCTTTTTTTTGCCTTTAAAATCATTTTATACACAATTTTCCTAACTTGTTCTCCCCCTCAGTTAATAGAGCATGAAGGGCCCTCCACATCAATACATAAAGATTTACTATACTTTTTAACAGCTACATAGTACTTCATTACATGAATGTAACATAAGTTTATCTATTTCTCTTCCTTAGATAATGCTGCAGAGAACATTCCTGTATTTTCCCATACTTGCGCTAGTATTTCCATTTCATTGTGTTTTGAAAGGCTTGTTCTATAGTTATAGTTCCTGGACTTTCTTTCTTTGTGTTGAACTGAAATCTGTGTACCTGTGAATTTCTCTGCTGACGCCCCTCCCTTGATGTGGTTTTTTCACTTCCCTGTGAGCATGAGTCTAGGCTTATAAAAAGTTGTGAATAGTTTCACTATACATGTATTTGTCTCTTTTACTGGTAAACTTGAACTCACATGTTTTCACGTGCTTTAGCCTTGAAACAAGTATGATACGATTAAAACGTGAGTTCAGGGGCTCCTGGGTGGCTCAGTGGGTTAAAGCCTCTGCCTTCGGCTCAGGTCATGATCCCAGGGTTCTAGGATCAAGCCCCGCATCGGGCTCTCTGCTCAGCGGGGAGCCTGCCTCCCCCTCTCTCTGCCTGCCTCTCTGCCTACTTGTGATCTCTGTCTGTCAAATAAATAAAATCTTTTAAAAAAATAAAATAAAATGTGAGTTAACTTTACTAATAACTGGATTTCTGGAAAAGTATGCTTTTGTAGCAGACCATGTCGTTGTGGACCTTTCCACATGGCTTTGATTCTGTTTCTTGGCCTGAGAGATGCCAGCCGTATCTGTGCGTTGTGTGGTCAAACGAGGTCAATTGTTAGGCTGTCATTAAGCCACTTATAAAGACAGTTTAGAGGAGTTTTACAGGGAAAAAAATCAAAAGAAAAGTTTCCATCTATGTGTAAGCTCTGCCCCTCTGAAGCTGGCATCTGAATTGTCAGGGATGGTTCTTATCACGTTAAGTTGGAAGCAATGAGAAAGGAAAACAGGGCGTCTTGGGGCGCCTGGGTGGCTCAGTGGGTTAAAGCCTCTGCCTTCAACTCAGGTCCTGGGATCGAGCCCTGAATCGGGCTCTCTGCTTAGCAGGGAGCCTGCTTCCCCCTCTCTCTCTGCCTGCCTCCCTGCCTACTTGTGACCTCTGTCTGTCAAATAAATAAATAAATAAAAATCTAAAAAAAAAAACAAAACCACAAACCCAGGGTGTCTACGTGAATGAGACTGAGAACTGCCTATAGGAGGTAGGCTCTATTGTACTTTTTTTTTCAGCCTTTTAAAATTAACGTTAATTTTCTCCATTTAAAAAATATACTTGGGTATGTTTATCATTTCCATTTTTTGAAAAACAAATTCATCATTTTCATCTATTTTGATTTTTTTATTGTGGTAAGACTACTTCACATGAGATCTACCTACTTAACGAATCTGTAAGCGCGCGGTACAGTATTGTTAACTATAGGTATTATGTTGTGCCGCACATCTTTAGAACTTACTTATCTTGAATAACTGAGACATAATATTCATTGAACAACATCTCATTTTGCCCTGCTAGCCACTGGCAACTGCCATCCTACTCTGCCTCTATGATCTTGACTATTTCGGTCATCTCATATTGCACAACCTTTGTATTTCTCCTTCTGTGACTAGCTTAAACTAGAACAATTCTAAATCAAGATTAGAATAATATAATAAATAAGCTTGATCTAATGTTTATAAGTGAAAAGTTGCGTTCAACATCAAACATCAAAATGGACCTCCAGGGGCGCCTGGGTGGCCCAATGGGTTAAAAGCCTCTGCCTTCGGCTCAGGTCATGATCCCAGGGTCCTGGGATCAAGTCCCGCATCCGGCTCTCTGCTGGGTGGGGAGCCTGCTTCCCCCCTCTCTGCCTGCCTCTCTGCCTACTTGTGATCTCTCTCTGTCAAATAAATAAATAAAATCTTTTTAAAAAAATGGACTTCCAACTAGGCTATAAAACAATCTCAATAAATCAGAACGCATTAGGATTATATAGACCATGATCCCTCATCACACTGAAATTAAGTTAAAATCATTAACACAAAAAACAATTAAAAGTTACATGCTTGGAAATTTAAAAGTATACTTTAAAATAATCTATGGATCAAAAAAATCATAAGGGGAACTAAAAAATATCTGAAATAGGATAATAACATAAAATACTTCGTAAGAAAATGAGAGCTGCAAATGAAGCAATTCTTACAGGGGAATTAAAGCTTTAATTGCCTACTTAGAAAAGAAGAAGTAGGGACACTTGGGTGGCTCAGTCAGTTAAGTGTCTGCCTTAGGCTGAGGTCATGATCCTGGAGTCCCAGGATAGAACCCTGCATTGGGCTCCCTGCTCAGTGGGGAGTCTGCTTCTCCCCCTGCACTTCACCCCTCTCATGCTCTGTCTCTCTCTCAAATAAACAAAATCTTAAAAAAGAAAAGAAGAAGTAAGCAATGAGTTTAGATCCTGACTTAAGAAGCTGGAAAAGGGGGACCCTGGGTGGCTCAGTTGGTTGGATGACTGCCTTCAGCTCAGGTCATGATCCCGGACTCTCGGGATCAAGTCCCACATCGGGCTCCCGGCTCCATGGGGAGTCTGCTTCTCCCTCTGACCTTCTCCTCGCTCATGCTCTCTCTCACTGTCTCTCTCTCAAATAAATAAAATAAAATATTAAAAAAAAAAGCTGGAAAAGGAATAGCAGAATAAATGCAAAAAAGCAGTAGGGAGGGAGGTTCAAAATAAGAAGCAAAAATTAATCAAATAGAAAACAAACATAAGGGGCGCCTGTGTGGCTCAGTGGGTTAAAGCCTCTGCCTTTGGTTCAGATCATGACCTTGGGGTCCTGGGATCGAGCCCCGCATCAGGTTCTCTGCTCGGCGGGGAGCCTGCTTCCTCCTCTCTCTCTGCCTGTCTCTCTGCCTACTTGTGATCTCTGTCGGTCAAATAAATAAATAAAATATTTAAATAAATAAATAAAATAAAAAATAAATAAATTTTTAAAAAAAGAAAACAAGGGGCGCCTGGGTGGCTCAGTGGGTTAAAGCCTCTGCCTCCAGCTCAGGTCATGATCCCAGGGTCCTGGGATCAAGCCCCACAGCGGGCTGTCTGCTCTGCAGGGAGCCTGCTTCCTCCACTCTCTCTCTCTGCCTGCCTCTCTGCCTACTTGTGATCTCTGTCAAATAAATAAAGAAATAATCTTTAAAAAAAAAAAAAGAAAACAAACATAAAATATGAAGGTTCAAGAAAGCTAAATGCTGGACCTTTGGAAAGACTAAAAATGTGGTAAATCGGGGTGCCTGGGTGGCTCAGTGGGTTAAGCCACTGCCTTCGGCTCGGGTCATGGTCTCAGAGTCCTGGGATCGAGCCCCGCATCGGGCTCCTTGCTCAGTGGGGAGCCTGCTTCTCTCTCTGCCTCTGCCTGCCTCTCTGCCTGCTTGTGCTCTCTCTCTCTCTCCGTCAAATAAATAAATAAATAAAATCTTTAAAAAAAAATGTGGTAAATCTGACACAAACCTGGCAATGAAAAAAGAAAAAATTAAGTATGAAAAATGAAGCACAGCATGGCTCAGTGGGTTAAAGCCTCTGCCTTCAGCTCGGGTCATGATCCCAGGGTCCTGGGATTGAGCCCCACATCGGGCGCTCTGCTCAGCGGGGAGCCTGCTTCCCTCTCTCTCTGCCTGCCTCTCTGCCTACTTATGATCTCTCTCTCTCTCTCTGTCAAATAAATAAATAAAATCTTTAAAAAATAATAATAAAATAAAATAAAAAAATAAAAAATGAAGCACGTAACTACAGATGCAACACAAAATAAAGTTAAGAAAGAAAACATTTCGTGTTAAGTTTATGTCAATAAATTTCAAAATTTATACAAAATGTATAAACCTATAGAAATATATAAATTACCAAAACTAACTCAAGAAGAAATCAAATAGCTGAATGGTCCTATAGTCATTAAAAGAAACTGAACCATGAGCTTAAAATTCTCCCACAGAGAAATCCAATACTCCTTCTACAGACAAGCTTATAGTTTATACAATTAAGTACTTAAGATGTTAAAAATGAGTGACCCTTAGAGTTCCTTGTATTAATAGGGAGGTTATAATGTTGTATAAACAGTATGATTATACAAAGTTTTAAAACAAGTAAAACTAAGTCCTATATTTTTTTAGGACAAACATGTGTGCAGTAGAAATGATTATCAGAAACTTCAGAATAATTGCTTTCTGAGGAGAGACAAGAGGACGAGATCACGAAGAGCCACATGGTTGAAAGAGGTGAAGACTTCAAAGATACTTAATATTCTACCATATTTCATCAATGTTAACAAGCCCATTTTTTTCACGTTTCTGAAATAAGGATGTGCCTTACAGACTACAGCACCTTATAATTAATGATTCTTAGCATCCTTTTTTTCTTTCTCAGTGACACATAAATAAGAATGTAACTTACAAACCATGGACTCCATGAAAATATGGCTAATTCTTAAAACTATATGGTGGAAATGGGCATACAGTTTATTTTTAATTATCTACTTCATATATGATAAATATTTTTACATATTCAATGTATAATAAAATCAAGTTAAAATAGATTATGTCATGGGTCAGGTTAGTATAGCAGGAAGATTAGGGAAAAGGACAAAATTAGATAGGATGGAGGGCATAGATGGTGATGGTCTATAAAGATAAAACAGGAGGCGCCTGGATGGCTCAGTGGGTTAAAGCCTCTGCCTTCCGCTCAGGTCATGATCTCAGGGTCCTGGGATCAAGTTCCGCATCGGGCTCTCTGCTCGGCAGGGAGCCTGCTTCCTCCTGTCTCTCTCTCTCTGCCTGCCTCTCTGCCTGCTTGTGGTCTCTCTCCATCAAAAAAATAAATAAAATCTTTAAAAAATAAATAAAAAAAGACAAGACAGTAAGGTGATGGTGAGGTGAATAAGATCACAGATTCCAAGACAGAGATAGAGACAGGCACAGAAACCTGTAGGAGTCAGGACAGAATAAGATAGAATATGAAATATGGAGATTGGTTCTAAAGTTAGGGAGGACAAGGGTAAGAGAGAGGGCTGAGGCTCCAGAGCAGTGCTGTTCTGTAGAACTCTCTGCACTGATGGAAATTTCCACATCGTCCCATTCAATATGGCAGCTACTAGTACATTATAATGTTACCAAACACCTGAAGTGTGGTTACCATGACTGAGGAACTGAACTTCTACATATTTCATTTTAATTAATTAAATAGCCACAAGTAGTTAGTGACTAGAGTTTTGGACAGCACCGCTCTAGAGCGTCCACGGCTCCTGAATCCAGACAGAGGGCAGGGAGAGGGGCACCAGCCCCAGGACACTCACCAGCCACTAGGAACAGAACGATGGCAAAGCCAAGGACGTAGTAAGGCCACTGCACGGAGAACTGGGGGGGGCTGGGCTTCATCCTCAGATTCTGGATCTCCAGGGCATGCAGCAACAAGGCCAGGAAGGCACAGACCCCTGCAGGGTCACAGGGAGGCACTCTTGCTCTCCTCCCATGGTTCCCACCTTTGCTCTTAATTGACAGAGGCACATGGTCCACACCGGTGGGGCTCCTGTGCGGAGGCTGTTTTCTCCAGCCCACACCTATGCCCTATCAGAGCCCATAACCTCTACCCCACATGCCTATCTTTGCCTCCATCCCAACTCATTTCAGAGCCCATGTGCCTCAGCTCCCAGGGGCCCCATAACCAGAAATCCCTTTCCCGGGTCCCCTCTGTGCCCGTGCTATTGGCTGACTCCAGTTGGGGCCCCTGGGTGCAATGCTTTGGGTGCAACTCAACCTGATTCTCCCACTGTGAGCGTTCCACCTTCTCCATGTGATGGGAGCCTCCCGGGGGAGGGCCTTGGCCAGCCTTTTAAAGTCAAAAGGTTCCAAAGGGCAGAGATGGTGTCTTCCGTCCACTCATCCAAGAAACACTTATATTTCACTCATCTTATATATTTCACTTCCACATTGTCATTCTGCGCCAGATTCTATGACAGTGGCTGGGATAGAGATGATGGCAAAAAAGAACCCCAGACCGATGACCCCAAGCCAACGCAGTGAGGGCTGTGCTAGCTGTAGTGCAGGTGGCCGAGTGGCCCCAGGGGAGAGCGACTGTCAGCCTGGGGGGCAGACAGCCTCAGAGAAGGCAGCAGGTGAGAGGGGCCCTAAAAATTCCCTCTCTCCTGACATCACAGAAACCAACCATCTCCCTGCTTTGGGGTCCCGCCACCCCAACCCCTTCCCAAGGCCGAGGCTTGCCTGAGGACAAGGCCTGCCTGCCTCTTCCACACCTGTGAGGAAGCTGATGAAGGCTGACACCAGATTGTGCTTCCAGGTCCTGGGAAACAGCTGAGACGCAAAGGACACCAGGATGAAGGTGGTGAGGAAAGACAGGACAACCGCAGACAGCAGGAAAACGCGGCCGAGAATGATGTACACTGCAGGGGAGGGAGGCTGGGCTGCAGCTGGAAACCCTGACCCGTGACCGGGGACAGAGCCCCGCAGAGCCTGCAGAGAAGGCCCCCGGAGCTCGCCACCCTCAGTCCCACAGTTGTGGCCTGGGACCACGGCTCCAACCCCACCACTTGGCCTCCGAGAAGGCTCTGGTTCCAACATTTTGTTCCCCATGACATGGAAGTGTATGGGGGAAAAAAAAACTAGATGGACAAACAGTCTTTTCAATAAACAATAAAAATTATAAAAGTTGCATGTGGAAATGTGAGGAATTGTATCAGTATTGGTCACACTGAAAGAAGCCCTTGGTGGAAAATCAGAACTTATGCAGTTAAGATGTTCTGAACTCGGAGGGGGTGGGGGGGTTAATGCTTATTTATTTATCCCAGTTAACAGAAGTAATGAAACAATCCAAAATGGCAGAGCCAGGGTCTCAATGATCCCCTACTATTGGCGTGACTCAGACGCACATTAAAACACGTCTGTACGCCCTCCTAAGCACAGAGAGATGGACAGCTAGGGGTGGGACAAAAAGACAAAGGTGTTGCTAAAGACCCAAATGTTCTAGAATCTACTCTAGGGTTAAGCCAATGGTTCTCAATCAGGTGCAGTTTTATAGCCCCTGCTGGGGATATCTGGCCATGCTAAGAGGTAATTTTAGTTGTCACAACTGAGGCATCAATCGGGTCGGAGGGGGTAAGGGTGCGTTAACTGTCCTGCATGAAACAGGAGCGCCCCCACAACAAAGAGTATCCAGCCAAAGTGTCAGCAGCACCGAGGCTGAGGACCCCCAGATCGAAGAGCACACATGGCGTGGCCCGTCTTCCCCAAAGAGGTTTCTCCTCTTTTGTCACCAGGAGAGAGGACTCTTCCCCAAAGAGGCTCACCCCTTTTCCAAGACAGACATCCTCCTGACCTCCCTAAATCCCTTGTAAAACACAGCCTCAAGTGCATCCTTGGTCCACTGGGCTCATATCCGCCTGCTTTCCCTTTAAAATGTGGTACTCGGGCCTGAGCACCTTATCTGCCGGGTTGCCACCTGCAGTCGGACAGGTGTTCAGCACAGGGGACAAGTGGGGGCTGAAATCCAGCCTGGGTTCTACTAACAAGGCTGTTCCCCGGCTGGGAGCTGTGCCCACCAAAAAGGGTCCCTTGTCCGGGAACTAACAGCAGCCCTGGGAGGTGGTGGAGCCTCACGCAGTAGGGCAAGACCCCCGCCCCTCCATCCTAGGTAAAGCCACTCCTACCCCAGAAATCAACTTCCTTGCAGACACATTTGCTCCTGACCCTGGTGGTCGACTTGATACTATTAACTTTTTGCTAGCCACGTACTTTACTCTAACCTAGAGAGCAGAGACTCAGAAAATGTCCTTATGCACTTACTAAATTCTGTCCTCTCTGACTCTATCTGGTCCTCTGTCACCCAAGTCCCCATGCTGGCCCATCTCCCCCTGTCCTGTCCCTGCCTCCATCCCTCCTTACCTGATAAGGGTCGAGGCTTCCAGCACTTGATATGGAAGCAGTTCTCAAACAGGCCACTGAAAAACACCTCATGGGACTCCTCGTTTACAAGCCGTACCCAGAAGGGAAAGATGGAGACCAGCAGTATGAGCAGGTAGCCCAGGGAGGTCAAGGCTGGGGCTATGGCCCACGTGAATCCCTTCATATCCTTGTTCTCTAAAGTCATCATCACCTGTTCAAGGGAAAAGTGAGGGCTTCTCATGCGGAACAGGGGAAGGAGATGATGCCTGTAGAAATGTTAGTACATAAGTGAGGCTCGGGGAATGTTGATTTCTTGGCCTGGATAAACTTGACAACCTTACAGACCGCTTCAGCAGACCTAAAATATGCACGAAACATTTTCTGCCACTGAGTCACTGGGGGATCTTGGGCAAGTAGGGTTCCTTCTCTGAGCCCCAATTTCCACCTCAATAAATGATGTTGGACTAGGCCAGTCCCAAAGCCCCACCAACCCTAAAGTTCTCACCGCTGAATTCTGTTAACAATCACCCCACCTGCAAAGACCCCCTGCACTGTGCTCCGCAGGCAGCTAACAGCCAATAGCTTTGGGGATTTCAGGAAGACGATGGGGGTGGTCATTAGGCCGGGGTCTGAAGTGCAGAAGACAGGGCCCTCGAGAGTGAGTGGGCTGCTCTCTCTGGTCCACACCCTGTGCAATCCCCCCCAGGCACTGGGGCCTCTCCACGGTCCCAAGGCAGACCCCCCCCCCACTGCAGCTGGGGCAGGGAATGTCTCTGAGGCTGTGGGACCCGCAGAGAGGGGGGTGTTCTCATGCACACACACACCCCCCAAAAAATCTGCTGTTTATAAACTCATGAACGGCTACTCCTCTCTGAGTGCTCTCAGACTGATTTGGAAACAGCCTCCTGCACTTTGCCCTCCTTCCTGTCACTAGCTTCTCTTCTTCCCACCCGAATAATCCTTCGCTCTGTCCAAAGCTCCCCTTAGATCTTCCCTCCACCCCCCAGGCCACACCACTCAGTCACCTCACTGCTGGGCCTCAGTTTCCTTGCTCTAAAATGATGGAGGCAGGCAGTCCCGAGAGCAGTCCTAGCTCTACAGCCCTCTGGTTGGAGCCATCCTGACACCCCTTCTCCAGGTGGGGCGGAGTCCTCTAGACACTGTCAACAGATGGTCTGCACCTCCGCCTGCTCCCCCGCAACCTCAACTTGCCTAAAACAGGCTTTCGTGTTTTCCCTGTTTTGGTCATGCTCCATCACCACACAACACCTCCATCTCATCGGCCATCCTCCCAGGAAGTCCCCAAGCCCCTACTCTTCCTGCTCCATACCCACAGGTCTCCCTCCCAAGCAGCTCCAGCCTCCCTGTGGTCCTTCCCTCCCCAGGGGGGGGCGGGGGGGGGGCCCTCTGCCTCTCCCATAAAGCTCAGCTTGGCCCCAACATCCACTGCACCCAGCCCTCCCAGCCACCAGCCACTACCTGTCATTCAGTCCACACTTACCGGACGCCCCATGCCCAGCTTAGGCCAGCGGTAACGATTCAGGGATGAAAAAAGACAGGAACTCGCAGGCTCTTGTTAACTAGGGGGGAGAAAGACACAAAAAACAGGTCACTGGGTACAAAGCTTTCCTCCCCCCCTGCCTGGGTGACTTCAGGGCCGATGTACCCAGCGTGCCACCTCATATCTGCCCCCCTCCGCCACCTGGCAGCTCTCCAGTGAGGAGGACCTTGCCAGCCTTCTGGAACAGCCCTTAGCACAGGGATTAGACCACTGCACCCCATGGACATACAACTTGGGGGATGCACTGATCTAGGCCAGACTCAAAGGACCCTAGACATGTTAATACAACAGGGAATCCTGTTTGTATACAGGGACCCCTTTGTACTGTTGAAACAGAGAACAGGAGAGTAAGACCCACCACAGTCGGTCAGTGCAGGGGCAAGGACCAGAAGCCCACAGGGTTGCCCCTCCCTCCCACTTCAGGCCTCAGGCCCAGAGGTCAGCTCCGTGACTTTCAAATCAGGAACCAGTGAATTCTTCCTACTAGATAAGCTCATTTGCATGAGTGAGAAAAAGAGAGTGAATGGGGTGTGCGCTGGGTTACAGAATTGCTAAAACTTTTAATTTTGCCAAAAGCACTTGGGTGGCTCAGTGGGTTACACCTCTGCCATGGGCTCAGGTCGTGATCCCAGGGTCCTGGTATCCAGTCCTGCCTCGGGCTCCTTGCTCAACAGGGAGCATGCCTCTCCCTCTCCCTCTGCTGCTCCCCTTGCTTGTGGTCACTTTCTCTCTCTCTCAAATAAATAAAATCTTAAAAAAAAAAAAAAAGGCATTCCAAACAAAACAAAAACAACTGTCAGCAACTATCACACTGTCTTTATTATTTTAAAAGGACCCAGGAAAGTAAAAGAGTTGCAGCTTGGTGGAGCCTGGACCAGCCGCGAGCCACGGGCCTGGGGGAGCTTCCTCCATCGGGGTTCCCTCTGGGAGAGTCCCTGAGCCACCCTGCAGGAGCCCGGATGCAGCCCTGTTCCCTCCGGAGGCCCCACGCATCCCCGGGGTCAGCAGGGAACTGTACTGGGAATGAAAGGGATGGACGAAAGAAAGTACATCTGGTTGGAACAGTGGGGGTACCTGTCAGGGCCACTGGAGCCTCAGCCCCTTTCCCACCAGTGGTTCGGGGCAACCTGGGCAGCAAACTGACCCCGGTTTGGTCAGAGGATCCTTCCTGCCGACAAGCTTCCTTGGCCCTTCTCTGGCCCCAAAGCCACGGGGACATTTTCCAGACCCCAAAATGGACCCAGATCTGACAATCGGTCCCCACCCCACAGTGGGTCCCAACAGCCCGTAGGGTTCTGTGCGGCCTGGAGGTGGGGGGTTGGGGGCCCTTTTCACAACCCCTTATCCGCGGAGACACCCTGCCCCTCCCTCCCCCGCGGCCTCCCTTCCCTCCCTGGGAACCGTCAGGGTCTCCCGGTCTCCGGGGCAGGGCTTCCCTCCAGGAGGGCCCCTCACCCGCGCCTTGGACCCCGGCCCGGAGTTTCGAGTTTCCGTTGGGCCCGGAGGCCAGGAACGAGAGGATGCGCAGTTTGCGGATGGAGCCCCCGGAGCCCGCGGGGCCCTGCGGAGGGGGGCAGGGACTCTCCCGCCCAGCGAACGCACCCGCCCGCCACTCACCTGGCTCTCGGCTCGGCAGTCCCTGGCCTCCGCAGCTGTTCGCGGTGGGTGCGCTGAAGGAGGTGGAAGCGATCCGGCGCCAGGCAGATCTGAATTCGAATTCCAGCTCTGCCATTACCAGGAGGGTGACCTTGGGTAAGTTATTTCTCCTTCCTGGGTGTCAGTTTTCTCCTTCCTGAAACAGCAATGGTAATAATAACTCCTCCAGCCAGATGGCTGAAAGGACCTAATGGCAAGTGCCTGGAAGAAGACCCCGACTCCTCAGGACCCTTGATTTTTTTTTCCCTGATTCAAAATAAAAGAGCTATAAAACACATTCTTGGGGCAACTGGAGGAAGTCTGAATATGGACTGCACTTCAGACAGTATTAGGGAATTAAATTCTTTTTCTGAGGTATGTTACTAGGGTCACAATGATGTAGAACCACCTTCCTCTTAGGAGAAGCATGACATTATACTTAGGGGTGAAGGTTATATCCACGCTCACTTTCAAGTAATTCAGAAAAAAGTATATGGATAGAAAGCAGGTACCGGAAAACAGTAATAATTATTAATCTGAGTAATATATAGGGTGTTCATTTATACTTTTTTCCAGCTTTTTGGTATATTGAAATCTCTCAGATAAAATTATTGTTTTTTGTTTTTGTTTTGTTTTTTTAAAGATTTTATTTATTTATTTGACAGAGAGAGATCACAAGTAGACAGAGAGGCAGGCAGAGAGAGAGAGAGAGAGAGAGGGAAGCAGGCTCCCTGCTGAGCAGAGAGTCCGATGCGGGACTCGATCCCAGGACCCTGAGATCATGACCTGAGCCGAAGGCAGCGGCTCAACCCACTGAGCCACCCAGGCGCCCAAAATTATTGTTTAAGAACATATACACAGCAGGGTGCCTGGGTGGCTCAGTGGGTTAAAGCCTCTGCCTTCAGCTCAGGTCATGATCTCAAGCCCGGCATCAGGCTCTCTACTCAGCAGGGAGTCTGCTTCCCCTCTCTCTCTGCCTGCCTCTCTGCCGACTTGTGATCTCTGTCTGTCAAATAAATAAATTTTTTTTTAAAAAGGACATATACACAGCTGGACGCTAAACTTTTATCATTCAGGTTTATCATTCAGCTACGCGGTATCTCAGTGCTTTCTCCAATGACCGATAAGATGTTCACTGCATACAGTCCTTGCCCTCATGGAGCTTGCAATCTAGCACAGAGACAAGTAACTGAATAAATCTTTCTCTTTTTTTCAGATGTGATCAGTGCACAAAGGAACATAGCTACAGGGATTGCAGAGGCAAATACGGTTAAAGGGAAGACCTGAAAGGAGGCAGGATTAGGCAGAATCTTATCCCCGAAGGGGGACTGCATTGTGCAAAGGTTTTCACTGGCTCTACAGCAAGAACTGCTATACAGGGCACATGCACACAGAAGAGCTTCACTTACCTTTGCTACACTCAATGCATGCAAATATTGTCTATCCTCCTCCGGTCCTGCCTAATTTTTTCTTTTACCCTCAGTGCTGGTTGCAACTCACTGTGATAAATTAATTTATGACCCATTAGTTGCTTTGACCTACATTTGAAAAATACTGTGTTCAGGGACCCAACAAATTTTAAAATGACTGGAAGGAGTACCCCCAAGAGGACTGAAGAAATCAATGGGCAGAGCTGGGACGTGAAGGGTCTTGTAGAATTTCATCCTAAGGGCCATGACAGGTGAGATGAAAGCAGTCATGTTTGGATGCCAGTACCCAAATTCCTCTTCCTCCTCCCATCTTCCCTTTGCCCAAAGACTCCTACCTCTTTAACCAGAGCACAGAAAATGCCTCTCACCCAGGGGTCCCAAGGCTATATACACAGCAAGGCTAGGGGCTACCAGGCCAGCCGCCACTAGGACTGGAAATTCTAGAATGTGTGCATAGGTTTAGGTTATAGCCTCCTCTAGAAATATTTTCATATTTTCCCAGCTCCAGGGTAGAGGATGGACAACGGAAGAGTAATTGCCTGCTGGAAAACGGGGTGGACCCCCCCTGAGCTGGGGCTCTGACTTCCCCTAGGCTCTGTGCTTCCTCCGGCCAGTTTCAAAGAGAAAACCCAAGTCAACCAAACTGTAGTTTTACCAGGTAACAGAACTGGGAAGGGAGCAGGTGCCTGCTCCCTCCCCCGCCAGACCGAGCTTACTGCCCTAGGGAACCCCCTCACTAGCTGGCTCCAAATCCAAGGCCAGAACCCCCTCCCACAACTCCTTCCTCCTGAGACACCCTCCCTCCACTTTCACATGGGGCCCCTGATGCACTCCACAGTCCCAGCCCCGTCCTCTTACTAGCCCTTAGTGACTAAGGCACAGATCCTATGTGGTCTTTTTGTGCCTTTCTCTCAGCACCTGTAAAGCATTAATATCCTCTATCGCATGGGTTCTCAACCTTAGATGCACATTAGAATTACCTGGGAACTTGCAAAATGCCAATATCCAAGCCAAACACCTAATATCTCTGGGACTGGGACCGAGGCAATAGTCTTCTGAAAGCTACCCAGGTGATTCCAGTATGCAACCTAAGTTAAGAATTCCTGCTCTACTGGGTCCTTTTGCAGCTGGGAGCTATGAGGGACCAGGGAGGTGGGGTTACTATGGCGTCAGGTGACCAGTCATCCCAGTTTGCCCAGGACCGAACATTTCCTGGTGTGGAATGTTCAGTACTAAGACAGAGAAAGGCCTGACCAACAACTGGGCTGAGTGGTTGCCCTTGTGTTTACCTGAAATCTAAGAGCTTGGTCAGTTGCTTGGCCACTTGTAATGGTTGTGCCCAAAGAATCAGAGCCCCCACTTTAGTGTTTTGTTTTGTCTTTTTTTTTTTAACATTTTATTTAAGTAATCTTTATACCCAACATGGGGCTTAAACTTACAACTCCAAGATCAAGTCACATGCTCTACTGACTGAGCAAGCCAGGCATCTCCCCCGACCACACACACACACACACACACACACACACACACACACCAACACCAACCTCAGTGCTTTTGATGCTGCTAGACAAACTCTTTTCTCTCCTTTCCTGGTCTCCACAGAAACCTCTGCCCTTGAAGCCTGGCATTTGACCCCACGCACTTGCCTTGTCCTGGGGAGCCCCTCTCTGTTACTCTCCACCAATCAGAATCCCACCCAGCCGTCAACCCCAACTCATCAAGCCCTGCCTCATCCCTGACACATCTCAAGACCCCACAGAAGGAAGAGCCCTTTCTGTGGCGAAGGGAGTGGGGAGGGACTCAAGGAGTGTCATGTGTCGAGTGCAGTAAGTGGGCACTTAAGCTCAGACCCAACCTCACAGAGGGCAAGTCCATTCTCAGGACATCCAGATGCAAGGCGGTCCTTAGAGCAAGGTGACCCTCAGTGAGTGCTGATAATCACCTATCGATTACAGAGGGAGAAAAGTAGAGGAATGCAGACAGGATATCTGAAATAAAGAAGACTGTGGTGTCTGGTAAACAGATTCACTCCAGAGCCATTCACTCAGTACCTGCTGTGTGCACAGCACCAGACCAGACTTGGGGACTAGGAGACTGGCAATTTTCCATTTTAAGAGTCCACATTGTAAGTATAATTTTCATTGATAGCTTAGATAATCATTAATCCAAACTAACTGGAGGAAAAATAATCTGATTTTTTTTGTAACGAAAAATAAGCATTTACTTGGGGTGCCTGGATGGCTCAATCGGTTAAGCATCCAACTCTTGATCTCAGCTCAGGTCTTGATCTCAGGGACGTGAGTTTGACGGCCCTCACCCCACCCCACCCCGCCCCCCCATTGGGCCTCATGCCCAGCATGGAGCCTACTTTAAAAAAATTTTTTTAAAAAGCACTTACAACAAAGTAGGTATTTCTTTCAGATAACTAACCTAACAATATACTACCCAGTAGAGGTACTTTTGGAATTTCTTTTTTTTTTTTTGTAAAGATTTTATTTATTTATTTGACAGACAGAGATCACAAGTAGGCAGAGAGGCAATGCAGAGAGAGAGGAGGAAGCAGGCTCCCTGCGGAGCAGAGAGCCCGATGTGGGGCTCTATCCCAGGACTCTGGGATCATGACCTGAGCCAAAGGCAGAGGCTTTAACCCACTGAGCCATCCAGGCGCCCCTGGAATTTCTTTTAATGATTAAAATATTCATGCTAGGGGCACCTGGGTGGCTCAGTCGTTAAGCACCTGCCTTTGGCTCAGATCATGATCCCAGCATCCTGGGATTCAACCCCATATCCGGCTCCCTGCTCAGCGGGAAGCCTGCTTATCCCTCCCCAGCTCCCTGTGCTTGTGTTCCCTCTCTGTATCTCTCTCATAAATTTTAAAAATCTTTAAATAAATAAATTTAATTAATTAATTAAATTTTCATGATAAATGGGTGCTCAAAGTTTTTTAAAATTTTATGGTTCCCAACTGGCTCAGCTAGTGGAGTGTGTGACTCTTGATCTTGGGAGTCATGAGTCTGAGCCCCACGTTGAGTGTAGAGATTTCTTAAAAATAAAAAATATTTTTAAGAGTTTTATCCATTATGTATCACACTATTCAACTGCTTGGCTATTCAACCTTTTCCTGGACAATTATACAGTAGTGAAGCTCTGTCTCAGGTTATGATTTAAATTTTGTTGTGAAGGTGTTTGAACCGTGACTTTTTCTCAAAGGAAATCATAAAAATTATTTTTCCAAAAACAGCCAGAAATTAACCATTCCTCTCTATCTAAACTGAAAGTCAGTGTGTACTTGTTCAAGAACAGTAAGCGCGTGTATGACTAGGATTTGATCAGAGAAGTAAAACCATGAGAACACACACACACACATGTGTACACACACACACACACAGCCCAGCAAAGGCAGAGCAGGATCCAGGGGAAGGTAGGTGAGTTGCAGGCCCAGGTGCTGCCGCTCCCTGGGGAGCTGAGTCAGCAGATTAGCAACAACGTGGGTGAGCCACAAAAATAATAACTGCTGCTTTTCTTCTGCCCTCCTGGTCTCCTGAGAATCTCCCTCGAGCCCACAAGAACCAGAAAAAATACAGAAAAGGGAATTCTGGCAAATGCAGTTCAGCCCACGTTGACACATAACAAAGCCCATAACGTGTCATCCTGAGAGATTGTTTGGTCTAGAAAATGTGCCTGTTTAAGTGCATATGTCCTATAAAGCAAAAAGAGAGTCTGCAGA